GCTCTTGCTCAGGCTGGTTTCGAACTCCTGAGCTCAAACAATCTGCCCGCCTTGGCCTCCCAGAGAGCTAGGATTACAGGCGTGAGCCGCCGTGCCCGGCCTTAAATTTTTTTGTTGAAACAGAGTCTTGCTATGTTGCCCAAGCTGATCTCAAATTCCCAGCCTCAAGCAATCCTCCTGCTCAGCCTCCCAAAGTGCTGAGATTACACGTATGAGCTACCACACTCAGCCCTAGTAGAGCTTTTTAAAATGTGATATCATCCAGATTTTTTGGTGTACTGATAATAATCCTATTGGTGGTCTTGGTAATAAGCCTTTTTATGGAGAACCTATGAAGAGTCAGTCATATTTATTCATTCCCTCTTGACTGCAATCTTACAAGAAAGGTACATTAACCTACTTTACTGACGGAAAAACAGGCTTAGAAAAGCCAGGCAAGGTGGTAAATGATATGCAGCTAGTAAGTGCCAGAACAGGAATTCACACTTTAGGTCTGCCTGACTCCAGAGCCTCTACAATGAATGGCAGGAGAGAGTCTTATCAGGAATGCAGTCATCTTCCTTCTGCACTGGTTTTTCTCCACTGTCCCCAACCCAGTCAGCACCACTCCAGATTCTTTCCTCCTTTTCTCTGTCCTGTTCTGTGCTGTGAGGGCCTGATCTCTGTGAACTATATAACCTGGACTCACTCACCCACTGGCTTCCGATTGGATTTGGCCAATAGGAGGCATGACGGAGACAGAAGGGCGGTGGGAAAGTGAGGTCAGGCTATTTTATCTCCATTCCCTCTCTGCTTCAGTGCCACATCTTTAACACTCCCCTTATGTTTATGGCTCCCGCATGGCATGGCATGCCATTTTGCATAGGCTCCAGCTCTCACTGGGCTCCAGTAACACTATTTCCTTCCCTTGTCCTGGGCGGGGTAACAGCTTTATGCTGTAGCTAGTTTCTGAGGGCCTTATCACCCCTTGTTTGTTCCCTTAACCCAGGCCATAATTTTGTAAGCAGTCCCATCAATAAAGCCTCTTCATTTGAACCATCTGCGAGGTATTCTGTTTCCTGCCATGATTTTGTCTGATACACTTTATCCTTACACAAACAGGCAGGGTGCAGTGTGGCTCACACCTGTAATCCCAGCACTTTGGGAGGCTTAGGCAGGAGGACTTCTTGAGGCCAGGGGTTTGAGACCAGCCTGGGCAACACAGTGAGACCCTGTCTCTACAAAAATAAGCCGGCGTGGTGGCATGTGTTTGTAGTCCTAGATACTCAGAGCTGAGGGGGGAGGACTGCTTCAGCTCAGGAGTTCGAGGCTGCAGTGAACTATGATTGCACCACTGCACTCTAGCCTGGGTGACAGAGTGAGACCCTGTCTCTAAAAATAAATAAATAAATAAACATAGATAGGATTAGAATAATGTTCCAATGGGAGATTCTCCTCCTAAATCCCTCAGAAAATGCCATTAGTCATAGAAGAATCAAAACTATTCAGTGTGAATAATTAGGGTTATACAATTTTAAGCAAGAATTTTATAAAGAGCCCCAGGCCAAATGAATCTAGAATAAAGATGTCATGGAACCCAGCCTTCTGGAAAGCTGGCTTCTTATGTTCATAATAAGGCCTTTTGCCAAACACTTTCACATAGTAAATTGCATGGAAATTATTATGTGTTTTGGAAGGGTTTCAAATTTGCAGCTTCTGAGAGGCTAATTGAGCTCAAGGCAGTTAACCCATAATCCTCACCCTCTCACTCCAGCAATAAACTGGATTCCATTCTGTAGGGAAAAACCAGTGTTTTGCCAAAAGTTTACTTATGTGCCTTACGCTGATGGAAAAATTAAAGAATGATGAAAATTAATGTATAAGCCTCAGCTGGAGCACCAAAAAAAGAAAAGAAAATTAATGTATGATTTGCTCATGCTTCCGTACCTCAGTTCATGAGGTTTTCTTGACCTGAAAAACCCTTCTTTCCCTTGCAAAAGTTTATTCACTTTTTGGTCCTATCTCTCTAACCCAGCAAATCAGAATCACTTCCTCCCTCTTTTGCACTTGTCTCACACTCCATTTCAATATTAGCACTTAAAGAATCTCTTGCGTTTTTATGGCTCCTGCTAGATGCTGAGCTCTTTGAGCCCAGCCACTTCCCTTTACTCATCTTTGTATCCCTACAACTACTATTAATACAATGGTTGACCCACAGTAGATGCATGATAAATGTTTGTTGAGAAAAAAATTATGTACTCAAGTCATATAAATGAAATAGTATATAGTATACATGGTATTGACAATAGAAATAATCATTTCTATTTTAACTGTAAAGCTTTTTTCTTTCTTTTTTTGGAAATAAAATTTACCTACAGGGAAATTTATCTGAAATGTATATTTTTTGAGTTTTGATAAGTCTATATGCTTATATAGCCAATCAAGATATATTATAGAACATTTCCATGACTCCAGAAATTTTCCTTATCTTTCCTTCCAGACAATCCCTACCTCCCTTAGGCAAACACTGCTCTGATTTCTGTCACCAAGACAATGCCACATGCTTTGATTCATTCTTTTTGTTTGGTTGTTTGCGAGAGGGTCTTGCTCTGTTGCCCGGGCTGAAATGCAGTGTTGTCATCACAGTTCACTGCAACCTCAAACTCCTGGGCTCAAGCAATCGTCCTGCCTCAGCCTCCCGAGTACCTGGGACCACAGGCTCACACCACCACGCCTGGCTAATTTTTGTACCTTTTTGTAGAGATCTGTCTCCCTACGTTGCTCAGACTGGTCTCCAACTCTTGGCCTCAAGTGATCCTTCCACCTCCGCCTCTCAAAGTACTAGGATTACCAGCATGAGCCACCACCCTGGGCTTTGATTTATTCTTTTGTTTGATATCTTTGTTGGACTGTTGAATTGCTTCCAGTTTTTGACTATTATGAATAAGGCTGCCATAAACATTCTTGTGCAAGTGTTTTTGTGGACATGGTTTCATTTCCATTCATTACCAGAATGGAATTGCTGGATCATAGGGTAGAAGTATATTTAACTTTATAAGAAACTGTCAGATTTCCAAAGTGGTTGTACTATTTTATACTCCTACCAGCAATGTAAGAGAGTTCCATTTGCTCCATATTTATGTCAACATTTGCTGTTGTCAGTCTTCTTAATTTTAACCTTTCTAGTAAATGTGAAATGGTATCCTATTAAGGTTTTAATATGCATTTCCCTCATAACTAAAGATGCTAAGCACTTCCTTTGTGTTTTGGCCATTCATATATTTTCTTTTGTGAAGTGTCTGTTAAGTGTTTTCTCATTTTTTATTATGCTGTTTGTATTTTTACTATATATTTGTAGGAGTCCTTTGTTTGATACATATATTATGAACATTTTCTTCCAGTCTATGGTTTGCCTTTTCATTTTTTTGTGTCTTTCAATAAGCAGAAGTTTTATTTTTGATGAAGTCCAGTTTTATTGGGGTGGGGGTTAAAAAAAGAGAAGTCCA